TCCGCTTTCTTCGTGTCCTATCCGGGGGACACGCTCGGGAACGCAAACCCTGTCGAACGTGCACGGTAATCCTAACAGGCGTGGCGGAGGCGTGTAATTAATCCGGCGAAATCACTATGTTCGACGCATCGCACGGTGTGTACGGAATTTCCTGGCTCGGCTGACCAGACGCGCCTGTGCTTCTACTTGGGCGTGAAAGGGTGAACTAATAAATACGAGTTTGGAGGCGACAGCTCATTGCGAAGTCCGCAGTAACTGGACAAAATGGCGCTTGCAAATCTACGTTAGACTGTCTACAATGTTATGGAACGTCTGACCGGTCTGTTCTAGTTCTACTTAAAGGGGGAAGACAAACTGTAAGTAATTTTGGAGACGATTTCTCGAATTAATTCGCGGCAAATTAATTCGACGAAAGGAGGCTTAAAATGTACTCTGAACTGCTTACAATTCTCCGGAGCGTCTGAGTAGTCTCGGCTGGTTCTACTTAAAGGGAAAGACTAAATGAATGTAGGAGATAATATCTTAACTCAATGCTTGGAATTATAAATTCGATGAAATGAAATTGACGATTTACTCTGCATTGTCTACGGTTTTCTGGATCGGCTGACCAGTCACGTCTATTTCTACTTAGACGCAGGAAGGTCCGATAGAAGTTCGAAGACGATATCTCAAGTTAATGCTTTAAATTAATTCGATGAAATGAAACCGACAGTGTACTCTACAATCTTCTGGATTGTCTGACCAGTCACGTCTGTCTTCACTTAGCCGGAAAGACCAAATAAAAGTTGGCAGACGATATCTGAAGTTAACGCTTGAAGTTAATTCAACAAAGTGAGACTTACAGTGCGCTCTGAACTGCCGACGATTTTCTGGTACGTCTGACCAGTCGCGTCTGTTTCTACTCAGACCGAGAGGCCGGATAGAAGTTTGAAGAGCATATCTCAAATTAACGCTTGAATTCAGTTCGACAAAATGAAGTTTACAATATATACTATGAACTGTCCAGAATTTTCTGGCACGTCTGACCAGCCGCGTCTGTTTCTACTTAGACGAAGAGACGAGATAGAAATTTGAAGAGCATATCTCAAATTAACGTCTGAGTTCAGTTCGACAAAATGAAGTTTACAATATATACTATGAACTGACCAGGATTTTCTGGCACGTCTGACCAGCCGCGTCTGTTTCTACTTAGACGAAGAGACGAGATAGAAATTTGAAGAGCATATCTCAAATTAACGTCTGAGTTCAGTTCGACAAAATGAAGTTTACAATATATACTATGAACTGACCAGGATTTTCTGGCACGTCTGACCAGCCGCGTCTGTTTCTACTTAGACGAAGAGACGAGATAGAAGTTTGAAGAGCGTATCTCAAATTAACGCCTCAGTTCAGTTCGACAAAATGAAGTTTACAATATACTCTGAACTATGCAGGATTTTCTGCGTCTGTTTCCACTGTATGCAGCGCGCATTCCAACAAAAATGCTGCAATCGAAAGTTCGGGGACGGGATCCATTCGTTCGTACACTAAATTAGTTAAATAAAAATTCATCGAATACGTTCTCCGAACAGACTGAAAATTCATGGGATGTCCGACCATTAGCATTTGTATCCACCGAGCCAATAATATGTGAAAGTAAAAATGCTCCTAACAGAGGTACGTAACGGTATTACCTTGTACTCAGCCCACTTATTAGCACGACTAAAATTAGCATTCGATAGCTGCAATATCCAAAGCTGTCTGACCTTTAGCGTCCTATTCTACTTAGCCCGTCCTCTGTTGCTGCACGTTACATTTCGCCGGCGCTCCTGACGGCCCGCTCACCCGGAGATACGTTTTAAAAATCAGACGGGCCGACGAGCGAACGGATATTTTCGCCGGGGAGAAAATTAAAACCGGCTCGAACGTTTGCGCCCTTAATTGAAGCGGGATCCGCTTGGGATCCGGTTCGATGCGCCCGGTAATGGAGGATAGTGCATTATTCTCGTAGGAGCCTGTGTTTTATCAGGGATTAGAGCTCTTCCGCATCGATTCGCGGGAAGAAAAGTGCTGGGCGATCTCTCGCGCGGCGCGGGACGCTTTCGATGCTCGTTTCGTGATCGCGCGTTCGCGACTATAGCGAGCCGGAGAATTCGGTATTCCGAAAGCTCGCGAGCGCCCTCGATGCGGGAGTTTAATGGGAGAATGGCACTTCGCCAGTCACGGAGCCGTGCATCGAGAAAGCTGATAATTTCCGGCTTCCATACGCAATTAATTGGCAGCCTTTGCCCTGCCTTTTATCCACGCGAGCCAGCTCCTCGACGGAGAAACCGTGAGCGCACGTAGCACCAGCGTCTCGCCGATAATTCCAGCAGGACTTCCCGGAGACACATATACCCGTCTCTCTTCGCTTCTGCATACACACACATACACGAGCGTCTCTCTCTATATATATACGACCCATTCGGCGAACTCTGATATTGGCACAGTCATATATCGCGTATACAAAAATGTCCCGCACTTCGATTATCGATTGAAACTTCCAATAAGCGAGGGTGTGATTCCGGCCGTGCCTTGGGAACAGTTTTCAACAAGCATTCCCCGCCCCCGCCTGTTCGCGGACCTCGAAGGAAAGCCGCAGTTTAATGTAACGAAAATGCCGGATTAAGAGGCCGACCGAACTGGGTCATCATCGATTAATTAATCTGATTGTTAGAAAAAATCCGCTCGAGATTCAAACGGCGTCCTCGCGTCCTCGCCGCTGCGACTCCGCGGGGTCAATCTATTTCGGCGAATCAACGGAGAATTTAGAATATCCTTTCGTTCGTTAAGCCGCTATTTTCATCGTGCACGATGCGCCACCGTCGTTCCGCGCTTTCTGCGGCGTTCCGTTCGCATTCATCCCGGTCCCGATTGTAAGCTGAAACAATAGCCGACCGACGATACACCTAAAACCTTAAGCATCCGAGTAATTTAATTATGCAACAAACCGATTCAGCCGCGCGGAATTAATTCGATCCCGATAAGCCCGTGCCGGGTCCGGCGCGAGCTCGTTCTTCACCCGGCAGGAAAAAAGAAGGAAGCGATGTCGCAGGATTCTGGGTGATTAATAATGAGCGAGATAAGTCCGGGCCGCTTGTTCAAGCAGCGGTTATTAACCTAGATATCGAAAGGGCGGATTCGGATTCCGTGCCGGCGTTCAATTGGTCTTTGATGCGCGGATATCGCCGGATACGCGACGGACGCGCCCGGAAAAACCGGTCGGTTTTCTGTGCCTCGCTTTTTTCATTTCGTTCCGCGTAGGAACGCCTGACACCGCGTGCGCTCGTCAGGCCGCGCAGCCGGCGAAACAAAATTAAAGGGACAGGCGAATTAACCGAATCATTTATCACAGGTCGGACAGAGGCACCGATAAGTCACCGCGCGGACCAGGGCGCGCGCGAACGCGATCGGCGGAATAGAAAGTGAACCCGAGCCGGCGTCGGGTCACGCGATAATCACCTTCAGGTTTAATGATTTTTTTTTCCTCGAGTGTAATCGATCTGCCCGAGCGAAGGGCCTGTCCGGCACGCGAGAGAGCCCCGGTTGCTTAACCCCTACTGCGGTGATTTATTTCGCAGCTGATTAGACCCTCTCCTTCGTTAATGATTTCCCCACAGTAATACGCGCACACCTGATTCTGTTTTTACACGGTGGACGCCTTCCAGAAAATACCTTGCAAAAAAAGGAGACTGTGTGAAAAAGAAGACAGCGTGCGAAGAACTATATCGTGTGCATACATGGAAAAACGGGGGCTTGGCTCCATGTTCTTAAAACCTGTAAAAAAAACGGCTAAGATAAAGGGAATCGGACAAGAAACTGAATTAAGAGTTTCGACTATCTATCTCATTAGTTTCTTAACATCCTCGCTTTTTTGTTGTACATTTTTACACACGTACAAACACAATATCACACTCGAAAGTGTGATACGTCTCTCGACTAAATATGTGTTGATTAAAACTACAAAGAGCAGATTTGTTGGTTTGACGGTCTAACGATCGTTGACATAATCATTGTACGTACACATGTATTGTCCTAAATCAAATTAGAGAATTACTGTTAATAGAAATAATTATCCTCAAGATTTCGATGGAATAACTGTCCCGACCGTGCCGCATCGCACGAAATCGTGTAAAAATGGAATTGAATTTTGTTTCTCTGGCTCGCGTTGAACCAAAAGAACCGGAAAAAAAAGGTACCGCCCAAAACACAGAATTGGGTGTATTTAGCGTCCGGCGTTAGCTGGTAAATTAATGCTTCGTTACGAGTTCTCGCGTAACAATTCCCGCGAAACAAGAGTCGCTGTGCAACGCGATTCCCTAATTGCAGCTGTGCAGAGAAGTACGCGATGGTGAAAATTAAGAGCCGCGGCACGTTCTTTTTTTTTTAACGCGGTGCTCGAAAACGGAGACCGCGAAGCGAGCAAAGCTTTTCTTGTTATTTCAGCGGGCGAAGCACGAGCACGTGAAACGTAACGGTGCGGCGCCGTCGAAGGTGGTGCTGAATAATTTGCCGACCGTGTCCCGCGAAAATCCGCGGGCTTGTTCCGCGGGAACGCCGGGGGCTGTTTAATTAGCGAGCTATTCGAGGTTCGGGGAGAGACAATGGGCTCGGATCCGGCGCGGCGGTCCACGGGAATCGGAGGCGGTTGCGTGGCGGTGTCGCGTGGGAATTCGAACGGAAAAGAAGTTCCCGCCTCTGAAGACGGATCTATGGGGTTCCTTGGATCCACGGGGGCGGAGGCGGTCGTCGCGCTCGGCGATTCGAAATCGGGATGAACGTTTGCGCGGCGCTCAGCGATATTACCGGAGAAATTGCACGCGGTGCTTTGTCACGCCCTCCGTCACTGTCTAATTACCCTTAAGAGCAAGCCCATGTGCAATTAACGTCAGCGTTAATGCATTCCGGCCACGTTTCATCGTTAACGTTTCCTCCGGAGTTGTCGGCCGCTCAAAGATCGGATAAAAATAATTCTCCCTCACCTGTGCTCTCTCTCTCTCTCTCTCTCTCTCTTATGGCCTATCGTCGCGGCTGACTCTTCTTATTCGACTCTGTTAGGGGTTGACAAGGGGTTGGCTCGGCTGACACTCGAGGGAACGACACCGTAGACCTCTCGTTCACGTTCGGACCGCGTTCCACGACGTTCACGGCACGAAGGGCGGCATGCTACTGCCCGAATCATCCCCGTTTCGTCCCCGACTCACCCCATTATTAGGTCGACGGTAGCGCAGCTACGTGGTGAATTCGACGACTATCATATGCGCTCGCAGCGGTCAAAATTCGCAGTCCCCTCTGCCCTTTCTTCTTTACACTGTCCAACTTCTCGACCCGGCTCGAGAGTTCACCCCTTCGATCAACCCCTCATTCAAGACCCTCGTTCAAGACCTCGTTCAATCCCCGAAGAATTAAGTTTCGAGAGCTCTTCGCGATCCCGTTTATTGCTGCAGCGATTCTTCGGCGGCCTTTGCGAAATTAAAAACTCTCTCTTGCCCCGATCTTCTCGAGGCTTGAACTACCGCCAAGAATTTTTCAGAATTTCTTTTGGAATCCCCGCGGAGATTACCTTTTTTCCGCATCGATTTCGAGGGCGCGTTTTTTTTTTAATTTTCTGGAACGCGAGGCTCGTATATTTTTGGCGACTCTTTGGAAATTACTTCTTCACTTCGATTTCGAAGGCAACGACTTCGATAAGTAATCTTTTTAATTAAAAAATATTTTTAGGCTACGCAGACTCTCTGAAAATGACTCTTCCATGTCGATTTTAAAAGCGTTACCTGTATTCAGTGGTTTTTTAACGTTTCAATTTATCTGGGCCACGCAGATCGCATATTTGGCTAAATCTGAACGTTATTCATTTATTCTAAATAGATACAAAATTTGATTCTTTTGTTATCAAAATCTAAGAAGGAAAGTAAATGAAAGCGTCCAATAAACAAAAATTGTCACATTCTATCAGATAAATGATTAAAGACGAAGAAGCGCTGATCGACATAGTTATAAACAAAATGGCAGTGGAAAGGATTGCCTACAGTCGGTAGTTCATTTTTTCGTAATTTTTCAGAGCCACGCAGATCGCTTATCTCGAGCGAATCTTCAAAATTGAAGTCCCCACGTCGATTTCAAAGGTGTCACCTAGATTCAGCAGATACTTCTCGAATTTTCTGCGACGACGCAGATCACGCTTGTCGAGTGACTCTTCCAAGTCGTCTCCGAACTCATTTTAGCAGCAATTAATAATCGTTCATAAATTCAATGAGACGCGGCACGTTTTCCACGTTGCCGACAACTTTTCTCCCGGCATATTTGTCGAACCGGGGCGCGATTTTTAATTTATAATTCACCGGAGCTGAATATAGAAAGGCTACTTTAGAGGGTGAGGTCTATGGGCGCCCCCGATTTGCGCGCGGCCGCGATCATTTATACATCGATCGGGAGTTTGTTCGTCTTAAAATTCGCGAGAAGTCGAAGATTACCAAGGCATCGCCGTGAAATCTGTATTAGATTGCGTTTTCCGGTGAATTATTCATCCAGAGGGCTGTAACGGCGATCGGGGAACAGCCCGAAGATTTTTCCATCGAGAGGATGCTGTTTCCGGATCACGGCGGCGGATCAGTAATCCCCCCGGCTGAGCAACGATTTCCATATTTCTCGTGATTGAATGTCCGTAATCGGCGATATGGACGCAACGATCGGGATCTTGTTACCGGTTGATTCGCGCAGAGTACACGGATCCGGCGGTGTTTTAGCCGTCGCTTTTACCCAAGGATCGGCCGGCATCGATTGTTGATTCGATTCCTGAAATCGTTGCAGTTCCCCGCCGTTCGCGCAATTAGCTCGCGCCAATTTCCTCGGAGGCCTGTCAATCGATGAAGCTAACAGTCTTTAATAACCGGGAACACGTACCGCCCCCTCCCACGACCGGATTAATTCCGATTTCAATTAAATCCGCTCTCGCGGCGTGACGCAGCCTTCTCGGCGCTCTCGAGGAACGTTTCCTTCGGCCTGCGTCCTGCTGCGAGTTCGATCGTGAAGCGGATCGAGCCTTCCGCGCGATGTTTGCATTATCATGGTGCCCATTGTTTGTCCGCGGCCGAAGTTCAATTTCTGGCCGGGCACCGCGCCGCTTTGTGCACGCCGCCGGGCGAAATTGGAAAATAAATCCCGAAAATATTACGTTTACCATCGCGGCCGGCCTTTGTGGCCCGGCCACTATCTCCGGATCGCGGTTACGCGAAGGGCGTCCAAGAATGTCCCCTTCAATTTCCCCGGCGAAGACCAGTTCCGCGGGACACCGGCCGGAATCTCATCTGGACTCGCCTTCGGGAGCAGACTCGCGAGCCACGCTAATAGTCTCTCCCATATTTCATCGCGGACGTATGTCGGTTATGCGTTACCCTGGAATATTCCCGCGATCGCGGCCGGGTTTCATTTTTGCCCCGTAGCCCCCGTGATTTATCGCCCCCGGCCAATAACTGTTCCCTAGATCACACAGCCCCGACCTCCTTATTTTATCCTCGAAATTCAAAATTTCCCCGCTGCCACGCCGGCGTTCCATTCTTAACGATCCACGCTAAGCGTTCTCCCTTTTAAACGCCGCGTATGTTTCAGGATAGAATCGATTTTCCCTCCGTCATGTTTTCCATGACCCCGTTGCTTTCGGATTTCTAAAACTCCCTGTCGTTCCGCAGGCCGTTTCATTTCTCTGCGATTCGGAGCTTGTTTTGCTTTTTGCGACCCGCGCCATGGATATTTAATTTCAGTCGTAAATTACGTCTGCAGTAAAACAAACCGTCTCTGGGTCAAATTTTTCCGAAGATGAAAATCAGGGTGTTTCAGCTTTAGTGGTCGTGGATATTTTAGTTTTCACACAATGTAAGTCTCTAGACAAGTTGAATTACCTTGGATCGCGTTTTCCATCGATTCATATTTTTTGACAATTTTAGAATCTTTGTAGTTTTTTACAGGATGTCTCATTTTTAGCGGCCAATGCTATGGATATTTCATTTTCGGTACAATATAAGTCCGCAGACAAATTGAATTACCTTGGATCGCATTTTCCATCGATCCATGTTTTTTGACAATTTTAGAAGCTTAGTATTCTTTTACAAGATGTTTCATTTTTAGTGACCCATCATTTTCCATCAATTCATATTTTTGACGATTTAGAAACTTTGTATTCTTCAACAGGGTATTTAATAGCATGCCATGGATATTTTATTTTAGTTGCAAAGTTGTGTTAAAAACATTACATCCTTCCACAGAATGTTTTGTAATCGACAATCGAAGCAAAATATATATATATCTAGATCGCAAAATCGCCATTCCTACCATTTCCACGGTGATATTTGATATTAAAAAATGAGCGCAACCGTTGTTGCTTCAATTGCAGGAAAATCAATTGTGGAAACTTACACAGCAATCGGTTCTGTGTTCGCAGCAAGTGGAAACTGCAATTAATGAACAGACCTGTGAACCAAGTCCAATCAAATATTATTTGTACTGCACCGTATTTCGAACACGATTCCATCGCGAACGAAGAGAGTTATTAGCAAATATCATTCGATATTTTTCGTTTCGAGGAACGATTCGATAAATTAATATTAAACGCGTCCGAATATTACGAGAAAGTTTTATCCGGCCGTCTCCCACGGTTTCGCAATGATAGCGCGTGCATATTAACTATTCCTCGACCCAGCCCGTAAAAAGACCATTAGTTTTTCCGCGCAGTACAACGCAATTAGCAAATTGTTTTCAAGCACAGTTTTCTCATTTTTGTTTCTCTCCCTTTAAAAGCAGAACCGTTGCGCCGCGAAGCGATTGAATTCTCGCGAACACGCGAAGCTCATTAAATTTTATAATTGCGAAACCGCCTCCCCGACGGAATTTGTTCGCCGCGACTACAGTAAATTAATCGGGACTAACGCCCACTCGTACACGTACGATCACGTGAATATTTCTGCTGAATTGCTCCCAAGAATTGCGATGTTTCGCTCGTCCCATCGAAAGCGTAAGCGTCCCTCTCTCTCTCTTTCTTTTTTCTTTTCTTCTTCTTTTTCTCTTGTTCGACCCGTTGAATTTTAAGGAACCTTAATTGCATTTCTTGAGAAGAGAAAAAAATACCTGCAGTCGGCCACGTCCTGTGTAAGACGTGCTCCATTACGCGCACGTTAAATACCTTTTTAATTTACCTTACCAAGTACCGGAAGAGTAATAATAATACCCTTTTCTCGATAAAATTCCAGAAAACAGTTCCCGCTGCAAAATCCACGTTCCGAAAGTCACTTCTCGAGCTCGAGGTAGATTTACTGTGTTTACTTTGTCACCGCAACAGACTCAAAAATTTTGGATATATAATTAATGTACATTATTTCATCAAATTTAGATTGAAAATTCAAATCGTATGGTATAAATTATTTTTGTCAACACTCTTAGGCTTTGCTGAAATAACGGAGGTAATATTTTAATCGAAGCATTAAGTAGAAACCAAGTGAAAAATTGTCTAAATAAACACAATCTTTTCATTGTTACAAAAGCGTTAGTTACTTTTAAGTAACTTTACTACTTAAGCGTTGGTTACGTTTAGTGTTAACGAAGCATTCGAGCTCTCCAATTTCGCTAGAACCGTCGGAAGACAAAATTCCAGATAAAAAAAGGATCTCATCACATTCGAACACATTCGTCCGACACCTCGTGGCCGATCCTGGATCAAGTTTCTCGTCGAAAGTCCCCCAAGCGAGGACCATAAGTGCCTCGCGACGGAATCCTACGGTCACCGCGATCGCCGCAAAACGATCGCGGCACCGTTGCCCCAACAAATCCGCCGCAAGGAAAACAGCAATCGTCTTAAGTGACCGGACCGCCGCGAACTCTCCTCGGCAAACACGGGAAATTTGCTCAAGGTTCTCGGATTACTCTAGACTTAATTCGCCATGAAATACAGACTGCCGCCGTCCCGGCCGGGCACGCCTTCTCGAATTTCAGGTCTGTTTGCCGCGTAAGTTGGGACAAAGGAGGCTGGGCTTCGCGAACAACGGCACACACTCCTGCTCGAAAATGTTGTTCCAGCCTTAACGGACCGCCGCGGAGACGTTTCCGGTCCAACGGCGCGTTTCCGGAATCGTGCAGCCACCGCCGGATATCACAACGTGGAACCGTGTCCAAACAATTACTCATTAACTTGAAAAAGTTACACGTGGATCCCACGAACATATTTACTGTGGTCCATGAAAGTGTTCGTGTACTTCTTAAATCGCGGTGATTTTTTTGAGACTAGACTAAATGACTTGAATCTTTTTTTCAGATGATTGAGGGACTAGTATACTACACAATGACCAAAGTGTCTTTTTTAAATTTTGCTATTATATGGAATGACGAAAAGGAAATAAAAAAGCTCTCGTTTTTTAACTTTTTTATCTGAGCCTATAACGAAAATTTAAAAAATGCCTTACGAGAGTTTTTTTTAATCATTTTTTGACATTCCAAATAGTAGCAGAACTTAAAAAAGACGTTCATTGTTTAGTATACTAGTCCCTCTATCATTTAAAAAAATAATTCAAGTCACTTAGTCCAGTCTTAAAAAAGTTATTGCGTTTTAAAAGGTGTACGAATACTTTTGTGGATCCCAAATACATGCCACGAAAGTGTTCGTGCACCTCTCAAACCGCAATAACTTTTTGAAAACTGAATTAAAAATGACTTGAATTTTTTTCAGATCACGGAGGGACTGGTCTACTAGACAGTGATTGAAATGCTGTTTTTATTTTGCAGAAATATAACATACTTTTTATTTTGTTTAAAAATATACGCAATAATATATTGCATTACATATATATATATTATTTATAAACGAATAAGTTGTTATAACTTGTTACAAATGCATAAAATCCGCAGTCTAAACACTTCTGAACTGTAAATTAATTTGTAGATTTGTTTTCATTTGATTGTCGTAGGAAAATTGACACAGTGTCGGAATTTAATATTGTTTGTATAGTTGAAAACCATTCGTTGTTAATTTAGCGTGCCGTAACGCGTTGCCATCAATATTCGATCGCTAAAATAAAACGTGGACGCACAATAAATGTAAATTACATTTTTCTCGCCGGAATTGATTACCATGGAAAAAGCTCCAATCGTCGTAACCGCGAAGAAAACGGTACAGTAAAGGATTAATTTGACACACCTTGCGAAATATTCAAACAAATTGCGTTAAATGTTCGACGAAGCTCGCTTTCGCGGCTGCAGAATAAATCGAGCTGCAACTCGCTTGGCCACGGACCTCCATTTTATTTTCCAAAATAGTTCAACATCTGCCAAAGGGTACACTAAATTCTCCCTAATTTTTCTTCAGCTTGTACACAAAAATTTGGAAAGAAATGATACGATTATTCGAGCATCGCAGCTCATTTTTACAATTGCCTATTATAAAAAGGAGCTGCAAGGCTCGAATAATCGCATCTCCTCTTCCAAAAAGTCGTTCATTGCCGTTTACAAGCCGAAGAAAAATCAGGGAAATTTTAATTCTCCCTAATTTTTTTTCAGCTTGTATACAAAAATTTTGGAAGAGACGATACGATTGTTCGAGCATCGCAGCTTATTTTTACAATTGCCTATTATAAAAAGGAGCTGCAAGGCTCGAATAATCGCATCTCCTCTTCCAAAAATCGTTCATTTTCGTTTACGAGCCGAAGAAAAATCAGGGAAATTTTAATTCTCCCTAATTTTTCTTCAGCTTGTACACAAAAATTTTGGAAGAGACGATATGATCGTTCAAGCATCGCAGCTTATTTTTACAACCGCCTATTATAAAAAGGAGCTGCAAGGCTCGAATAATCGCACCTCCTCTTCCAAAAAGTCGTTCATTGCCGTTTACAAGCCGAAGAAAAATCGGGGAAATTTTTCTGTACTTCGGCGTTCGCTGATAATTGCAAGAACGTTCCTCCAGCAACGATTAGTCGATCACCACCTGGAGCCGTCGCAAAACGTTCGAACGAATTCCGTTAAACGGTTCCGTTAAACGCAGGTTTCCAGTCCCAGGATTCGTTAGTTTCTCGACCACGGTATAAATTGAGCTATAATTTTCCCGGCCACCCATAGTAATCCCACGCGAGTTGCTCGTCATAAACATCGTTCGCATCTGGCTGCAGATAGTCGAGGCTCTCCTGTTTCACATTGAGTCCCGCGGTTGGATCGATGCCGGGCAGCTCGTTCTGCAAAACGAAGACACATTCTCAATTCTTCCGAAGCCGTACTTTACTGCAATCGGTGAACTTAATTTGCGTTCCGTTCCGTTCCGCGGGAATCTACTTGCCGTGTCCCTTAGTCGATTGTACTCGCGATTGTATTCTCTGGGCCCGTTCTCGCGATATCTCGGCGGCTCGGCCGTCCCGTGCAGAACCAATACGAACGATCCCATCGTCCCATTATTCTCCTTCGGGCCGGTCTGTTCAGACGGGAGGAAATTTAAACACCGATACGTTCCGCCGCCGCCGCTTATCGAGGCGACTTATAAGTCGGCAGAATAGCTGCGGGGCAATCGATCACCGTCTTTTTATGTTAATCACCTGGTCCACGATGTCGAGCAGCCAGCTGCCTCGAGGATCCTCGCCCCAGGTCGCCACTGACATGAATTTCCAGCTGTTGAAGCCGGCGGACGAGTCGTCTAGCTTTCTGGGTTTCAGGAGCTGCGCGGTTGTCCCTGAAAAATTAGACTATCAGATTTATGCCGGTGGCACAGGGTGCTTGGGCAAAATTTCACTCGGGCGACTGATGAGAGATAAAGACTAACGAATCAAATTGTATTCGGCACCATCGAACGAATATCGTATTGAATATATTTATCCGAATAAGATTTCATTCGAATAAAGATTCAGTCGAGTAAGAAGTTATTCGTTGTTCGAATAAGAATTTATTTGTGCAGGCATTCATTCGGAAAATAATCGATTTGAACACAAGCATACAGTTTATCGATTAATTTCTTCGATGTTCATTTTTACAATCAATTTGTTTCTTCAACTGTTCTGTTATTCGAATCATTTTAGAATCTCTGTTCGAATAATTGATTCGAATGAGAACAGAAGAATCATTCGAATGAATAGACAGAACGATTTGTTGAACGAGTAATGAATGAATAGTGAATGTTATTCGAATAAAATATTCGACTGAAAAGAATTGATTCGAACGTGAAGTATTTTAAAGCAATATTTATTCGAACCAAGCGGAATAATGCGCGACTCTACGGCGAACGTAGGACCGATGGAAAATTATAAACTCGTTGACTGCACGGGCAACAAAATTTTCATAAATCCCGAGAGAAATGCGCGGGGATAATGCTCCAGGAAAATGGACACGATAAATTGAAGGTTGTAACGGTTTCGTTGTAATTTACCGCGTTCTGTGCTTGTCAATTAATCTCCGGCACGGCGTGTTATTTTTTTTCTCCATAAACTACGGGTATCGATTTTTGCTTACAAAACGGCAGACGTTCCCATTCCATCCTCTTTAACACTAGAAATGCCAGAGGGATCAAACTGACCCATTTAGAATTGTTTGCTTCGCAACTATGAAACACGCGCAGATGTTTATGCAGGATAATAATATGCAAGTGAAGCGATTAACGATATTGTTGCTTCAAGATTATCGCATGTTTTTATCTCGTTTTTATCGACGGCTAAAATTATCAAAATCTTGGTGCCAGTTTCTTCTTGATCTTTTAGACGTTTAAAATTCTTGAACAATCATCAGAAAACAGGATTCGTTTAATTCAATCGTATTCAATGTTTTAACGTAAAATCTAAGAAAGAGATTAAAAAGAAACATTCGAATGTGGTTTTAATACAATTAATTACAGCTGGCTGTGATCCTCGTGTCTTTTATTCCATCTAACAATGTCTTCGCGATATTATCGACGTATCGAAGTATCGATAACATTATCGATAGTCGCATCTGTAGTGGGAGTGCATTATTGCACGCAGCTGCACAATAGCGGGCAGGAGAGTCTCTCTCTCTCGAACGGTGCCTCGAATTAGCGTCGATTGAACCTGTTATAGCAAAACCGTTCCCCGTAATCCGTCGTTTTTAGACGCAACTGGCGTTTTTCCTGCAAGCCCGCCGACTCCCGGAAAATCGTTTAATCGATAGACAAGTGGACACGGACGGGAGCGCAGTTAAGTGCAGCTGCGTCGGAAGAACGAAGTTACATTTCCCGCGGAGCTCGCGAGCCGTTTCTCTCGATTTACCTCGGCGGTAACCAACTCCATTAATGTCCCATTACGCGATATTTCCCGAGCAATCGAGACATCGCGGGTGTACGCGCGAGATTTCATTTCCCGCGAGGTGACCCGGCCAACATTTCTCTGGCTCACTTTTCAACTTTAACCCTGCCACGGTGTTCGCCCCCAGTCCGTAGCACCCAAGATCCCGTATTTTAAGGTCGCGTAACTTTTTTCGTTCACCATCTTATCGATGACCAAATTAATTGAATTTTGCAAACGGATTCTTTGCTATCTTTTGTGTCTTTGTATCAATCGTTGCATTCTTTCGTATTCAGAGCGCGGAGGAATTTCTATCTCTTTATGTAAAAGCTTACCTTTCTCCCGCAGATGTTCAGCGTACAAATTTATTTGTTCGCCGAGTTTTTTTTTACGTTTTTTTCTTTTTTACAACTGCTGGTATTGTTCATGTACGTTACCGTCTTCTTTCAGCTGAAAGCCGAGAAACGATAAAGAACGAACGAAAGTTTACCGGTTGATTGGCTTCTCGATAAAAAATCGAAGTCACCTTCATCCTTTTAAATTGCATTGCACATTCGTTACTTCGTATTATCGTCGTTGCATCGTAATAACAATTAATATGAAAATGCGAAGGAAAGTTATTACAAATTTATTTGCAGAATTTCACAGAGATTCCCGATAACATGCTAATTAAAAAAGCTGTACATATACACAGTTTGGGTCACACGGACTCGGAACACCGAAGAGTTAATATTATATATATATATATATATATATATATATATATATATATATATATTATTTATTAATATATATAATATATATTAATATATTAACACCAAGTACTAATGCTTCACCGTCGTTGGCAAAAGAACAATTTTATTTCGGCTTAGAAGAAAGGAATAATTGTTATACTTAACAGATTATAATCGAACGTTTTAATTCTTCGATGAATATTTTACAGCCGTTTTCGCGAGACAAGTATAGCGAACGCGTGCAAGCTAGGATGGACAGTTTCACAGGAATATGCTTCGCGGGACAATCGAAAGGGCTGGAAGGAAGTTAGGCTATTTGCTGCGGGTTTGCCCAAACAGTGAGTCGTCGGGTTAAATTGCTGTTCGGAAAACCGTCAGATTTATGATTCCAGAGCGAGCGGGCCGCTTCCGGGCGGCCGCCGCGACGCGAAATCGATTTCGAGGGACACGTTCCACGGCCGCATCTGTGCCCGCCGTAAAAATGTTATTTTCGAGACGGCCTCCGCTGTAAAACCCGTTCTACGCCGCGACAAGTACGTGACACTGGGAAACAGATATTCCCAGGCGCCATCGAACGCATCCTCGTGGCTGTTTTACAAGCTGCTTTATACGTTGACGTTCTTTAGCAAGCTTGTTGGGCACGCAGGGAACGGATTATAAAGAATACACGTGAAGCTTGAGTTTGTAAAGTATTAGGACGAGCGAACCGCGACCTACTTGCCCGGCAACCATCGAAATCGCCTGCTATCAACTGGAAGATTTCGTAATTAGATTCCGGATAAAAGAGTCGAACACGAGAGGTTTATACTGAAATTGAATCCTTTTGCGGATCGTATCTATCTTTTTTCGTAAATCGAATCGATCATATCAAAGGTTTTATTCATCGTTTTAAATTCAGGTTTTTGCAAAAGACGTTCGCCATTTCACAGATCATAGTTAGCCGTCTTTTATTCTGTTCTGAAATTTCGTACGATTTTATATATTTGCCTATAAAATAATCCAAGTTTTATTGTTAATCTTCTATTTACAAATTGTCATTTTCAATTTTTAAGTTGAATCACGAATTCATTTACTTACATCTGAAAGAGTACAGGTTTTTCATTACAAAAAATTAATCTTCATTAATGTTAAACAACTGTTCGTAGAACGTAATTCGATTTTTAAATCTAATATGAACTTTATTACGAATAACTCCAAGTAAGTGAATTTAATTTGCAAAAAAAGGGGAGTTTCGTTTACAAAAACGTGAATCCGCGCAAGGATTAATTCGGAGCGAATAAAGGTAAATTGGACCACGAAAAGGTTTAATTTTTAGTGAAAACCGGTGAATACGCGATCAACAAAAGGATTCGAGCACGAAACCTGAAAAAGTTATACGTTTCACTAACGATTCCGAAAAAAGAAAAAAATATTAAAAGCTAACATACCACGAAGCTTTCGCAATTTTCCGTATCACCAAACTTCTGCTTGAAACGCAGCGGTTAATATGAATTTTTGAAGCTCCGATTTCGAGAGCGCGCGCGCGAAATAATCAGATTGCCTCATATTTATAATTGTTTCCATCGCCGTTAATTAATGCGTCGCGTTCTTTTTCTCGCTGCCTTGTCTGTTTGCCCGCGTTCATGCGCCCGCGGTACGTTTACAGGCAACGAGCGACATCAAAGACCCGTCGCAGCCCCGCGGAAATGAAAAAGTGCATACCTGAGGGTGCGGTGAGATGCATTTGGAGTGCGCCGCGAAGACTGTACTCGAGAGTGACCTCGATCTCCACGTGTTCCAAAAACGTTATTCCGTTCGGCGAGGATCGGCACTCGTCGTCAGCCTCGAATCGCAACCTCCTCGAATTTCCATACGCCAGCCTCTTGTCGATTCTAAACCGAACGGCCGTGAACGTGTATTTCCGGTCCACGGGCACACGGTAATCTTGTCGATGGGGATACTTGAAATTTCCTGGAATACTGACTACGATATCGAGCGACGTCCCGGCGTGACGCGACGGCCCGACCGTTCGTCAACGAAATCGTTCGCGCAGCTGTTGCACTCGAGGATCCCGCGGCTCTGCGATTCAGCATCGGCGAAGACACTCGAAAATACTCGAAAATACTCGAAAATACTTGAGGATACTTTTCGGGGAGCTGAGATTCTAATGCGACGCCTAATCCTAACCAAAACCCGGTTAATCTAGGAAGGTTACTGCAACTCGACGAGTTAGCCGTTGCAATTCCCGTAAAAAGTGCACAGGTTACTATAATTATACTGCACGTTTTCGATTTTCTTCGTTTCTTGTTTAAACACAACGCTTTTAAAAAATATACAATTTAATATGAAATATCGAAGTGTATGATCTTAACCAGTTGACTGTTTTCGACGAGTATACTCGTCTTGAAGAGTATTTTGTTCTATGACGAGTATATTCCTTATTGAACTTTATGCAAGATAAAAATGTTCTAAGTCAACTGTGAGAAACAGAAACGAACTAATTAATTGTTTTTTTTAAATAAGTATTAATAATTTAGATAATAAGAGTTAATAATTTTAATAAGTGGACAACGATGCAACAGTGTTCTCAAATATTTCCGGTATCTTCCCGATTTTTTATTTCGCCTGTTCACTTTAATCAGAAATCTTTGATAAAATCCGCAGTTCCAATTATTGGGAAACCATTTTTAGAAACTGTGCATTTGCATCCTCTCTAATTGACGCTCAGATTGTGCACAAAAATGGACAATTTTGGAAAAGAAGATGCGATTATTCGAGCATTGCGGCCCATTTTTACAGTTGTCGACAATCGTTAACTATAAAAACGAGCAGCAAGGCTCGAATAATCGTATCTCCTCTTCCCAAATTGCTCATTTTGTGTACAATCTGAATGTTAATTATTTTCTGCTTTTTTCTAGCAGTTTGTAAAGCAATACAGTACTTCCAATCGAGAATTATGCTGTTTCAAAAAAATATGTCGCGCGTACAAAGAAATAAAATTATAACACGAGTTGACCAAGCTATTGTTGCGTATCTGATAACCAGAAATTACTACTTGCAGAAATTCCGCGGATTGCAGCGGTTATCGCGGACCGAATCTGATAGAGATTTCGTTTTTGGTCTCCGACGAGGAGATGGAACTGGAAAGACGGCAATCTCGAGCCACGATATATCCTCGAGACGCTCCACTTTTTCGACCGCCCTTCTCACGGCCCGGTAACGAATGAGTCAAGTGGCCCTAGCAGCCCGTTGAATTCCAGCGCTGCGCTTTTTAAAGGGACAAGGACAGCTGGAGGGCCACCGGTGGCTTTGATTGCGAAAAACCGGCCGCGTTCTTAACGTCGATCCGCGCAAATTGTTCCCTTCATTCTTCTCGGAACGATGAAAGACGCGCGCAGACCTTTACCACGCTCTGATTTCCCCGTGCGCCATTTCGAGGATTAAAATGTTACCTAAAAAGTTATTTAGGCGCGACAAAAAAATTTCTATTTTGAAACCGACTTCCACAGCTTTTTGCAGCTGCAAAGCGGGCCTTGGCATTTTTTCTCTGCCGTTCGAGAGATGGTTTTTCGTCGGGAGATGTTCAAAATGATCAGATTTTAAGTCATTGATTGCTAGAAATAATTTAGGAGATTTTTATCAGCGCGTGCTTGAAATGTTGTTGGTTTAACAGTTAGTAAAGAAGATCACCTTCTAATAAGATGTTAAAAAGTATCAGATTTTAAGCCATTGGTTACTAGAAATAATCTAGAAAATTTTTATGAACATGGGGTTGAAATATTATTGATCTTACAGCGAAGATAGACGACTATCTCCTAATGGAATGTTAAAAAGTGCCAAATTTAAAAAATTAAAAATCCAATTTTAAGCCATTGGATACTGAAAATAATTTAGAAGATTCTCATGAAGATGAAATCGAAATGTCATTGGTCTGGAAGTAAGTAGAGATTTCTCCTTGTCGCATGTTAAAAATGGACGGATTTTAAGTTATTAGCTGCTATAGAAATAATTCAGGAGATTCTCATGAAATGTCATTAGTCTAAAAGTAACGAGAGCCGATTTCTCCTAGCTGATGCAAAGTATCAGATTTGAAGTTACAGGCTGCCAGAAATAATTCTAATAAAGACTCTCGCAGTAAGTGAAAACGATCGTTTCCAATGAGATGTGAAATTTAAGTGGTTGATTAAATAGTGGTCGATTAAATGGAATATTAAAGATTCCCAGATTTTGAGATACTGGCTTTCTAGAAATAATTGAACTGATTCTCGATCAATTCAACTCAGGAGATCGAAACGTCGTTGTTTTAAAAGTAATGGATATTCGATTTCTCCTCCGAGATGTTAAAGATTACCAGATTTCGAGTTATCGGCTGCCGGGGAATAATTGAGGAGATTCTTATCGGAGCGCGGCAAGCAGATGAAGAATTCACGGAACGAGATTTTCAGTTCGGAATGCCCGAGTGCGCCGCAGCCATGGCTAAATATTCGATGTTTAAAGTGCCGCCCGATATCGCATTCGAGCGTGCTAATCTAAATGGACCGCGAGAGGTAAATCCTACTTGTGCTCGCAGCGTGCCGTGTCCAGATAGACCGTGCTATGTCAATATTATCGATTAACAAGCACACTCGTCTGTACCGCGTTTTGGAAGCTTGATAAATTCTTCACTCGTACAGAAATTTGTGTTCGCGGTCGGAACGCTTCACACGCGGTTGGAACCAGATGTACCGGTTATCCCGCCAAAGCGAGAGAATTCTGCTGTGCTCGAATCTGCGCCGAATACTCTCGTTTATTTCATACCGTTTTCCGAAAAAAACATACTTTTTTTCAGAGTATTGACAAACCGCCGTTTATTTTTTCAGCCCGGCATTTATTGCCGCGCGCTTTCCTTTTGTTTCAATTTTCCAAAAACTGATCGGCGAATCGACGAATCCGCAAACATGCTCGCCGAGTTGTGAAAACATCAAACTTTCCAGAACGCGAGGAAATAATTCAAGCTCTTGCGTATATCTGTGGCTGCCAAGAGAAATGTCTCGCGTCGCATGCTTTCATTTCGATACATTGCCGCATATTTTCCGTTTATTAGTTTTTCTTTTTGTTCGAACGTATCGAATCTGTTTTCATGATTTTTATTCTGCCCGATACGTGAATACTATATCGTACGATTCAATTGATTCGTAAATTTAAATTGTTTAAGATTGTCGCAGGCTATGATTTTCTTTTTACAGCCACAGATATTTGCGGTAGGACAATAACTATTTAAAGTTCACCGTTAGTATCCTAGATGTAGTACAATGTATAGTCCTCGCGCGACAGGAAGGCACCTTTGTGTTTACGTTCCCCCTCCTTCTAGCTGCTCCGCTGCCGCAGCTACTAAGAGGGGGAATGTAAGCACGAAGATGCCTTCTTGTTGCGCGAGGACTATACTTTTACTTCGTATAGTCGGCTTCTAGCATACGTACGGCGACCAACGAAAGCATTTGAACGAGACAGGTCATTTAAAAATTATATTAAAAAAGATTTAAATATTAAATAAATAACGATAATATTCATACGCTTCATGAAACTAAATAACTTGAATTTTTATCAAAGTTGAGAGTAAAAACCAATTTGTTTCACTCCGTAAATATTGATCACTGCAGATATAAAAAGATACGCGTCGAATATTTTTCAGCGAAATATTTCATCCTTAAATCTCATTAAAATCAGCGATTTATATATTTGGAAACGTTCTCATGTGAGTCGATTACGCGTATAGCGTATTTGGATAACAGAAACTTCGGATATTGTAGATCCGGATAATCTAGGTTCTACGAAATGAGCTTTTGCTCGAGATAATCGTCACCCGATGATCGTCGGAAATAAAACGCTGGAAGCTGATGGATCGGCTCGAAAACATTGCGTCTTGTCGCCGGATTGCCCGTTGCCCGCCGTACGCTCCAATTAATCGTCGCCCACTTACATTCCGGCGGCGTCCACTTTACAAATGGTCTTCCCGGGGACGGTTGTCCAATTGGAACTGGCGGCGACCAGCGCGAAAGCGTTCATAAGCCCGAAGCCGAAACGTGAGTTGAACCAGAATCCGGCGGAGTTTCGGAACCACCCTGGGTTCTCCCTGAAAGTTGACGCAATTACAGGGCCGGCTTCGCGGCAGGAAGAATGAAACGGCGTAAAATGAAACGGTCGGCGGATGAATCCCTTTTTTCGCTGGCGGCGAGTGAAAAGCGGCCCGCCAGCTTCGTATCGCCACGGTTAATTTTCGTTTCGTCTTCCGAAGAAGAATTCGAAGTTTATACTTCGCGACCGGAGGATACTACAGAGGTACATAGTTCGAAAGCCGGCGGCCTCGGCGTGGAACTTCGTCGAGCCGTTGTCGACGCCGGATAAAAGCATTGTTCCCTGGATCTGATCGAGTGCCGGACACAATCGCGCAATCGGGTTAGTGAATTCGGGCTATCACGCGGATCCTCGCGCCGTGAATGGGACTCGAGATTTTTAATAAATCCGATTGCTTGCGCCGCGGGAAATTCTCAAAGAAACACGATCCATCGGAGGATCTACCCTTCCGCGATTGTATAGCCAGCTGGCGTAACCTGTTTTCGTCATAGAAAGCGGATTCGATTTTTTTTTGTCACGAGGTAGTCCAATCAGGATGGCTAGAAAGGTCGTACGGTTTTTAACAAACATGTACAAAGCTTCTTTTCTATGCAAGGTATCCGAAAATTATGGCGCTTCCTGAGGTCATTTGAAGCAATTTTTTCCTTAGCGAAAATGCAATCAGCGGCTTTGTTTACGAGTTATTAACGAAAAACGCTGACCAATCGGAGAGCGAGTGCGACCGGCGCCCCGCCCTCGCGGCCAGTGCCGCATCGCGCTGGCCATCTGACGCAGCAGTAGTGGTCGCGAGGGCGGAGCGTCAGCCGTACTCGATCTGTCATTGATCAGAGTTTTTCGTTAATAACTCGTAAACGAAGCCTCTGATTGCATTTTCGCTAAGGAAAAAGTTACTTCAAATGACCTGAGGAATCCTTCATTTCCCGGAAGTACTATAATTTTCGTATAATTTTTGTAATCGTCATCTTGGGATACAGTTTGAGATATAAGTGTTATTCAGAATCCGCTTTGGTCAAACGAACCGAGATTGGTAGCATTTTGGAACGCCTAGTTTCAAGAATCATCGAAAACCGCACAATCGTTCCGGCAGTTCTAATATTTGTCCTCGCGTTTCTACGCTCTGGAAATTAAGTCGCTAAACGGGCGGAACGAATTTATTTGCGAACGGGACCGCCGCAGAACGTCCGCAGTTGTTTAGTCCCCCGGGAGGATAAGCAACGGGTTTCGGTAAATAAATCAGGATAGGAGCGAGACGGGAGAGCTTCTTTGTACGGCGGAAGCCGTACAAATGATCCTGGATCGGGCGCGACGAAGCAAGACGACCGAGTATTATTTTTACCGGGGCAAAGATCCTCGCTTCCTGTTTGCCTCGGCTCAATTACTGGTCCACGTTCAAACGACGCGACCTACATTCCGCTCCGGCCACGAACCGAATAAGAATGTCACGGCGCTTTAATTCAGCCCCGATTCCGCGGTGCCCATCGAGAAGAATGCGATCGACTCGTGTCCCCGGCCCGCGAGGAGGAGCCGGCCGCCCATCGGGATGAATGGAGCGAGAGGTTTACCCGAGAAGACAATCTGTCAGAACGTCGCGATGGGATTCCTTTGATAGAGCGGGCCGTTGTCCGACCGAACGGCCGCCGCGCCGTTGCATAACGAGGCTGATGCATCCCATCGAATATCGGAAAAGCATGACGCGCCGGATGATTGGATTTCGCCGGCGTTATCATTTAGGAAGACCGACGGACGTCTGAGAAAATGTCCAAGCGTGACCGGGACCGAAAGTGACATCGAAAGTTATTTAAAAATTCACGCGGCTGTCATCGAAATCTTTTTATGCAGCGCGTTTCGTAATTCATGGTATAGATGGGAGGCTTCGGTTTCGAGGAAATCAAAGTTAACCCTTTGCACTTGAAGCTGTTTTCACAATAACTACACTTTTAACAATTCTTTCAATATAAATAAATTTATTAAATATATATGTAATCATCGAGTACAATGTATAGTATACATCGAGTATAAGCATCGAGTACTCGACTGATATTTAACCCTTTGCACTCGAATGGCGAGTCTGAGGCGCCGCTAAAAATTAGCGGCTCTGCTAATTTTGCTGGCGAGTCTGAGACGCCACTTATAAATATATGTATAGCAATTTTTAGCGGCGCCTCAGACTCGCCATTCGAGTGCAAAGGGTTAAATATCAGTCGAGTACGCGCATTTTGTACAATATTTTGACCGGAAATAATAAACTAGATTCA